GAAAGATAGGGACACTCGTCGTTGCTTATTCGTCGTATCTGTCTATCCTCCCACTGACTGCAGCCCAGATGATGTTAATGATGAGTTTTACAGAAAACTTATTATAATTTTGAATCCCGAACAATTTTACTGTTATCTAGTGGGCTATACATTTTTGAGATTTCACAGTATATTGGTATTTGAGGTGATATTTGTGACAGACTGACTTTCATTGAGAACACCAGTGTAAATTGATGAGTATTCAATGGCTGTTTCGTGCGCACCCAAGACCTCATTATTGGTTTAATGCAGAGTCTTCACGGGTCGCGGTAAGCAATCAGCCTTCAAACCGCTAAATCAAAGTCCACCTGTACTAATTTTCAATTGAGATCAGTGTTTACCGAAAATTATAAGGTAATTATACATGTTTAGCTGTGGAGAAGGGGTGGCGCTAGACGAAGAATTCATTGTATTCTGTAAACATAACCGTTCTGGCCTCGCAAAGGGAATGAAATATCATCATAATCTATGGTTGCTTAAATCGTTTGTTTTAAATTGTGATCAAATTGTTAGGAAAAGGAGAGAAAATATAGAAATATGAGACTCGAGTTGCTATCTTGTAGTGGAGTAGTTAGAATATATTAAACAATTGTTTAGTGATATGCCTATCTAGCTTTGTCCTTTACCGTTGATAGGTTACATTTAATTAATTACGGGTCAGCCTTTAGACTTTACTTCGAAAATGCCCTAGTCAGTGGTACATGCTGAGATATACTAGTTAGAATACATTGTGACCCTGTATTATTTTTTATTATTAGAAGCTTTATTCAACATTATATTTTTGGTACAACATAGAATTCTCAGCATAAAGTATTTCAACAAGTTTCCTTTTCTTATATCTTGATCGATTGTGACGATCAATTTTGAATGATGACCATTTAGATGTTAGGAGTTCGGTAATCCACATTTCATTAATGTTCATTCGTTTCAATGCATATTGCCAGCCACCATGATGTCGCTGATTGTACCTTTTAGTATCTCGTATAGCGAAAGGTTGTAAACTTTTCATAAACGCGCCTGAATAGATTGTGAGCACAATAGACATAATGATGTGCTGAAACAAACAACAGAACAGAAAACTTGATGAAATATCTAGATCGGAGGAACAGGTAGCCCAGATATTTGTGAGCTTGAATGAGTACACAGTCGTTTTGAACACTTATCTAGGTCTCAAGTGTCCTAACTGTAGGTTTAGGAATGTTTGGATTTATACGTCACTTGTGTTATATGGCGAATGCAGTGACTTAGTGGATTTACCACGATAAGTTCATCATTCCACAGTGTCCTGTGAAGATTACCACGTGATCATTACTCTTGTAACACTTTAATGCGTAAAATTGGCTGTATTCTGGAGATAAATAAATGAGATTTGTTGAAGTTAGACATTAACACCGTTGGATGGCGGTTCAGTGGTCTAGAGATTAAGCGTTCGCGCGCGAGACTGATAAGTCCTGGGTTCGAATATCGCGAGGCGGGATCATGGGTGTGCATTAGGGACTGAGGAGTATCGTACTAGGACGAAACAGCCGTCCAAAGCTTCCAGGTTTTCCATAATGGTCTAGCTTCAACTGACTGATGAATTCAACTACTAGATAACTAAATGCTTGAAGTATCAAACTAATTACAATTTAAACTGGGTTCACTTAGAAATATTTGATACAAATTGTTTTGCATAACAGTACTGGTTAATAAGTATTAAGAATGCATTCGTTTCTACTATGCACCTACACCTGATTAATAAATTCGTATTTAACATGAATAAATTACGGATACCTACTATGTCAACGTTAGATTGTTAATATTGTTACTAATTAATTTACTAACACTAGTACACTACTTATAAAACATTAAGTAGTAGGAAACTTTTATACGAAAACTCGTAATACAAAAAATCTCCAGTTAAATAGTTTCGAGTTAGCTTATTAGAAATTCATCATTTTGAAAACTATAATCTAATGGGGAGTCTTAAACGGTAGAATAGCCTTCCCCAATTCTTTTAAACAACATTTTGTAAACACTGATAAGCTCAATTAACTTTGGATAGTGTAATAAGAAAACGAAGATTATCAGAACTACATGATGCATTCGTGCAATACATTTCTAACAATCTGATCACACATATACTTGTTAAGTACATTTATATATCTAAAACAAAAGGTCAACTAGACAAATAGAGAGTAATAGGAAACAAAGATAACGAAGAAAATAATAAGAAAAACAGTATGAAGACTCATCACGCTGGAAAATCATCTAACATTACCAGGATAGGTTCAAGTGAGAACAAAAGGGGTTTAAATTTTCGTATAGCTAAGGGTTCAGTATACTCCCTTTAACACTTCTGTACAACATCACAAAAACCATGTTAACTTTACTAATCTAAAAGATGAATTTCATTAATGGAAGTCATTTTCATTCTGGAAGTACTTCATGTAAACAATGTACATTGGATATTTGCACCCTATTTGTAAACTATCTGACATTTGCTTTCTAAAAGATAGTCCCTACATATAACTCTTTATAAAGTGTACAACCATAAATCAATACAATTATTATCAATTTGAGACATACAGCTCTCTTATCACATCATACCTTGCAGTGTTAAAACTGTATGTGTTATTCTAAACTCCTTTGGATAGAACAACTGATTGATATACCGTGGAGAGAAATCAATAAGGTTTTGTTGTTTTATGATTACCTTAACCGTTATTATTCATTTCCCACATGATAAATTCTATTAGCTTAGATATGTTACATATAAGGGAGAATTTTAATTGCTTAAAAGTATGGAATAAGATAGTTGGATATTGATTCTATCTCCTGATGTCTATTTGGTTAGCCTTTGAAGGTCATTTGAAAGACTTACTTACACCTGTTACTCCCAATGGAGCATAGCCCGCCGACCAGCATTCTCCAACCCAACTCTGTCTTGGGCCTTCTTTTCTAATTCCATCTAATTCTTGTTCATTTTTCTCATGTCGATCTCCGTTTCCCAGCATAATGTGTTCTTTGGTCTTCCTCTTTTCCTTTAACCTTGAGGATTCCATGTGAGGGCTTGTCTTGTGACGCAGTTGGGTGCTTTCCTCAATGCGTGTCCTATCCACTTCCCATTTGAAAGAACAGTATGTATAATAGTTCTACCAACCTAATAAACCTAATATTCATCAATTAGTTGTCTTATTCCAACAGTATTCTTTTACTAAAGGTTGAACAAAATTGTTTGGTCACCTCACTACTCATTCTCATTTATTTCCCATGAACCATTTAAATACATTCTAAACATCCATTACTATTCATAAAACAATATAAGTTCAATAAATGCAAATAGCTAATAAGCACTAAGTGATACTAAGGAGTATCATATACAATCCATTTTTCATTTAGATTTGTTTCAACAGTTGAGATCATAAGTCATTTGAAGTTAAACCACTATGGAAAACCTGGAAACACTGAACGGCCGTTTCGTTCTATTGTGGGACTCGTTAGATTTTGTTGTTGTTGACTAAATGTTACACAGATCAATATCACTGAGATACTCTGTGAAAATGTGATCAAAAGCTTTGTACTTAAGTGTAACTTCTAGTATTTTCATCACTTAGAATTGTTATGACCGATAATTATGTGAAGATTATTGGTTAGTTATCTAGCTTTCACTATTATCTTTCATTAGCCAATTTTTAACATTTGATTTATATGTGTCTTGTTGTTTGAATCTTCTCATTGATGTTTAAGGCTGCAACTGATCAATCGGGGTTTGAGTCCTAAAGTAAACATCAACTCTGGGATGTAAGTATATCTAACTGACGAGTCTTAAATAGGGTGAAACGCGCGTCCTGGATTCTACTGCTAGCAACTATCCATTTTTTTAAAATCCAGTTTGTAGCTTATAGTCATACTCTTCTGGTTGAATATCATATCTATAACATTTTTTCTGTTATATTTAATCTATGTACTTAGTCAGGTAACTATGGATGACATCATCTATATTCTGTCAGATTGTGGTTTACAGATGTATTATTTGAGGAGAATTCTCATTTTGGTCAGTTCAATTATTAAATTAATTTTACAAATCGACTAAGATATCGTAAAGGAAATACAAAAGCAAACCTAACCATAAGTTTTTGATAACTAGTATAATTTTATAGTAAGAAAGATATGTATATGGGTATATCAAGGAAATGAATTACATATGAGAAGTTATTAAAATCACTTTAATGTATAAAGTAGGTGAAGTTGAAACTCGGATATAAGAAGTTTTGGTGAGACTATAATTTATGGACAATCTTTGAGCGATGTCAAAGTCATCTCGAGAGGGCTAAATAAAGGTTATAAAGCAGTTTGAGGAATAAAGATAATGATTGACAGTTGATGGTAAGGATTAGAATTTAGATTTATAGTTTTCATCACCAACTGACATCAGCTAAAATACCAAGAAGCTATTTGGATGTGAATGGGTGAGTGAATTTAGCACCAAGATCCAAAACCTGTTATCCTAAATCTGATTGGTCCGTCCATAAATTATAGTTTCACCGAAGCTTAATGGTTTTCATACAAACGAAAAAAAAAACGATTTGCATGACTCAAATCTTAACTTTAGATTTGCCGAGTGAAATCTTGATGGCTGAGGAAATCAATCAGAGGAGATGTTGTGTGACATAAACTTCAGTATTGAATATTTGCTCTTTCAATATTAACCATCACTTCATGAGAAACCAATGTTATGTTTGTCTAGTTCCTAGTACTATCAACTCCTAATTCGTCTATTAATACAAACGATTTGTCAACATCATGCAGCTTGTTTGATTTTGAACATTCAAATAGTAGGTTAATTAGTAGAATCCTATTGGTATTTATGAATAAACAATATGAAATGACTTATTTCTGAAAGATCAATTCAAGTAAACATCTTAATCTTTCAAGAGACCAGTCATATACCAAATATCAGAAGAGGTTTTTTTATGTATATTAATAGTAATTTTAATAGTTAAGATCATGTATCAATTAAAATTAGACCACCATAGAAAACTTGGAAACACTGGATGACTATTTCGTCCCATTTTAGGACTCTTCAGTAGTATACCAAATGGTTTAGTGACTTCAGTACTAGATAACATACTTTAGAATTCTAACCCAGCAAATCACTTCATTCTAGATTATAGATATACTTTACTGATAAATAACATGTAACATGAAAAACTAGGTCAAACAAAGTATCCTAGTAATTACTTCTCAATCAATAATAGACATGTACTTGATTGTTGTATTATAAAGGAAAATATTAAATGGATAATATGTAATGAAATATCAATAGTTTAATTAATTGACCCCTTTTAATAAGTGGAGTAGTGTATATACATAGAAGAATGAAAAGATTTCCTCGTATATTTATTTCTATTATTATTATCATCATTATTTTCATTATGAGTAGTATAAGTAGTATTATTCTCAGAGGTTTATTACTAACCATATAATAAAAAAATTTCAATAATGTAAAATATTTCACCGTTAGAAATGTTCATCAAAGAATTATTGATAACATTAATGGTGTTCTTTTGGGTAATGATGATGTTGTTGTTGTTGAAGATGATGATGATGAAACATTGTAAATGACTTAATATTTGTTTGAATACTTTCGATACATTGGATGATGATGTGGATGTTTATCTTTGTGTTTATGACGATGCTCGTCATCATCATCATCATTATCATCATCATCATCCAAGCTTGGTAACATTTTATCTAGTTTTTCCAACCAGCCATCTTTATAATATGAAGATGAACGATGATGATGCTGATGATGATGATGATGATGATCACGATCATGATGATCTTTATGACGATGATGATCAAGTGGAGAAGGATGTTGATGCGGATTCTGATGATGTCGAAGATTAGGATAATGACGTTCATGATGATCATTATGATAATAACTTGAATATTTATCATTATCTAAACTTTGATAAGATTCATGTGAATAAAATTTCTCTGTTTGTTCTATTTCTTTATGTTTACTTATTTCAAATTGATTATTCTTTGTTTGATATATAGTAGATGAATCTTTTCTAATTTCTTTATGTTCTTCTTTATGTTGATGTTCCGGATGTGTATGATCATCTTCATGTTTTGTTTCTAATGATGTTTTATCAATTTCAACGGATATGATTGGAATTTGTTTCGCATGTTCAGATGAAATTGATTCATAATGTTCATCATTTTTTTGTTTATTTGATTGCATTTTTAATAATTTCAATTGTAATTCTGTAACAAATTGATCTTCACAATTAATTTGTTTCTCATAGATACAAGTTAAATATTCTTTTAATTTATCATAGATCCATTCAGATGATATTGTCTTTGGATTATTATCTTCTTTAGAAGAATGTTCATGTGAATGATCATGATCATGATCATTATGATCATGATCACCATGATCATGATCATGATGACGATGATGATGATGATGATGATGGTGATGATGATGTTTATGTTTGCGATGATAATATTGATCATAATTTTTAAAATATTGTTCATAATTAACTTTATGTTTATCATAATGTTCATTTGATTTTGTTTTATATCCTTCATTATGATTCATTGAATTTGGTTTATAATCATAATATGATGAATCAGTCATTGTAAATGATGCTGCTCGAATTGCACTATGTCTACTTGAACTGCTATTTGTTATAGTTGATGTATTTGAAATATTTTCATGAGTAGAATTGGAATGTGTTGTTGTTGTTGTTGTCGTTGTCGTCGTGGTTGTAACTGTCTCATTCTTATTATCATTTGCTTGTACAATTGAATGGATCCAAGTTAAATATACAAACAATAACAAGAATGATCGTAAATGTATATGGAAACTATTGAATATGAACATTATTGAAAGTAACAACTTCAATTGTATATTAATGAAAAGAAGAAAAAAATGAAGAAAGAGATTAAATTATCTAAGGGGGGAGGGTTAAGAAGTTTATCAAGTTAAAAGAATGAAATTTTATTGATTGGAAAACTATTGAGTTTGTTTGTTTTTGATTTACGCAAATTATCGACTTGATATAATCAAACAAACAAAAAAAACAAAAAAAATTAGACTTTTACTGTATCGATTATAAATGCACTTCGATGTCAAGGGGATGATGGGGAATGGTGGAATGGTCAATTATTAGTGCAATTTCTTTGTTTTGTGTGTGTGGAACAAATTAATCGATAAATGATTGAGATTATGAATTCAATAGATTTTGTAATGAAAAATGTAATTTATTGTATCTTATTGCATGTTTTTTTTTAGTTTATTTTTTTGGGGGGGGTGTTTTAATGAACAAATACTTTAGTAAACTATATTATCAGAAGGGTTTTTTGTATGGATATTACAGTAATTTTAAATCGTTGAGATTCACGAGTCGATTGAAACTAGACCGTAGATGCACACTGTTGAGGAGTCTTACAATAGAACGAAACGATCATCCATTGCTTCCAGGTTTTCCATGAAGGTCCAGTTTTAATTGACTCATGAATTCAACTATTGAAATTACTATAATATTCACAAAACTTTTTATGATATTAATCAATGTATTCTCACTACTAACTGGCTTTAAAAGATATTTCCTGGAGTTATGGTGAGGAGTGACCAGTGGAGTTCAACCGGATCTGTCGTGAGATAGTAACTCACTAATGACAATGATAGATATGTCACTGAATTTCTTGGATTCGTTGAAGTTAGACATTAACACCATTGGATCTTCAACTTAGTATAATTACAATGACAAAATGCATGATGAAATCTTGAATATGATAATATTGAAGGGTAGATATTTGATTACTCTGAAAACATTAAATAAAGAATCGTGGATACTGTCAAATATCAGCTTGTGTTCTCATGTTGCCGTTAAATGTGGTCATTAATGGACCGTTATTCTATGAGAATAAATGAAATCAAAGAGTAGGCAATGATCTAGTGTCTTTTGAACTTTAAGAAATTCTCTAGAAGTAAGTTTGTTTTAAGGAACTACAAACATTGATTAGTATGATTGTTTTACATCGCACAGATAATCCGTTTACAAAATCTAATACTTAATTTCATTTATTTACCAAGTGCATATCTATGTACTTAGATCATAGTGAAGTAAATAAAGTGGTTTTCGAACCCAAATTCTATTGTGGTGTATACTACTTATGATGACAAATAAAAGTAGTATATAACACCAATCAGAAATTGAATGTCTGTCAAAAGTAGGTTAAGAAGATGGAACTGAAGAAAACAAAAAGTGAAACATAAAGGAATTGAGAATTGGAAGAATCATGAAGGATGTAAAAGACATCTGATAGAATATGTGCAAATGAAGTATTTAATGTATAGTTTTCATAATTTAGCAACACATTCTATAAGTTTGTATTAAACATTAAGTAGGTTATTCGCATCAAATCTTCGTTTACCACACTATTGCTTCAAAGCCGAGAACATTAAGTATTAAATTACGGCTCTGGTCAATAAATAATTGAGATTTTTACCTTTCCACTACTTTATAAAGCTTTGATTTATGATTAGATTGGCTCCAATTCTAGACGAATATGTTAGTGATGCTTGAGTTCTATCTGTCAAGTTGAATTATGACCACTAGACTAACGGATTCCATACTGTGTTCAATTTCATGCCTACCACTACCGACCATCTAAAATGTTTCTTTTTAATAAAAGAATAAACCCAAGAAGTTCTTAATAATTTATATAACTAAGATGTACAATCCAGGTTTAATACACTTTACCACCTAATCAGTTAAGTTTGTATGGATAGCTTGTTGGAATAAAGTCTTCATCATAACTTTATTATAAAATCTAGATCAGATAAATGTAAAACTCATTATTAATGAGCGTGAATTTCATGCTACATAGGTTTAACTGGTAACTTCTTTGAATATCTGGGCTATCTATTCCTGTCATCTAGATATCTCAACAAGTTATCTGTTTTTCATTTGTTTTAACACAATAGGACGAAACGGCCGTCAAGTGCTTCCAGGTTTTCCAATGGTGGTCTAGCTTCAATTAACTCATGGTCTTAACCATTGAAATTACTATAATATCAACAAAACCCATCAATATATGCTCACTAGTGATTGGCTTCACGAGGTATATCCTGGAGTTCTAGTGAGAAGTAGTAACCAGTGGAGTTCAACCAAGTCTGTTGTGAGGTAGTAACTCACTGAATGCAATGGTGGATGTGTCTCTCAATTTCGTGGATTAGTTGAAGTTAGACATTAACACCGTTGGATGCCGGCTCAGTGGTCTAGTGGCTAAGTGCTCCCACGCGAAACCAGTAGGTCCGGTGTTCGAATCTCGCAGGGGGCGAGGTCGTGAATGTGCACTTCTGAGGAGTCCCATGGCGGGACGAAATGGTCGTTCAGTGCTTCCAGGTTTTCCATGGTGGTCTAGCTTCAACTGACTTATGATCTTAACCATTGAAATTACTATAATATCCACAAAACCCATCTGATACATCACTATATCTACGAATCTCATAACCCATTCGGGTGCGTTTATAAAAAGTTCAGTGTACAAGGTATAATTAGAGAGATCGTGGTGGCTGTCAATGAACATTATTCAGATGTCAATTTCTAAACTGCTAACATCTAACTGAAGATCTTTAATTGGCTAAGTGAACTGTTTTCAATTCATACTAAGTTTAAACATACATCGTAATTATGGTGTAATCCCAATTCAAGAATCGTGATTTGATGATTTACAAGACGATTCCTCAGTATCATTACAAAATTTCAATATTTGTCGTTGGGATCAATCAAGAAGCTGGAAATGGAAACTTGTTGAAATACTTTGTACTGAGAATTCTATTTCATACCAAAAATACAATACTGCATAAAACCATTAATAGTAATAATAATACATTTATTTGTCATCTTAATTGGTTAAGTATACATCTCTCAGACTTTATTGGATCTTATTAATAGTATGAAATTCCAATTGGATTATTGATAGAAATATTCAAAGGAATTTTGTAGATCTTAATTGGTATAAGACAAGCCGTCACTCGGAATCCTCAAGGCTAAAGGAGGAGAGGAAGACCAAAGAACACATTACGGCAAGAAATGGAGACAGATATTAGAAGAATGAACAAAAATTGGATAGAACTAGAAATGAAGACCCAGGACAGAGTGGATTGGAGAATGCTGGTCGGCGGCCTATGCTCCACTTGGGAGTAGCAGGCATAAGCAAGTAAGTACGTAAGTAGTCGACACGTAATTATGTTCAAGTTAATAGACATTTCATCACAATCTCTAACAATAAAGATAAGATGAAAATAAATGAAATGTAACGTAGTGTTAAAGAAAATGTCAGTCTTCTTACTATTTCTTAATAAACGGACAATAAAACTGCTAAAAGAACAATGACTTTGATAATATTCACTTACTTACTGGGTTATAAATTAATATGAGGAATCAATAATAGAATTTATATCTGTACGTTAGGGTTAGGAATTAGATTTATGGTTTTCATCATGAACTGACATCAGTTATAATGCCGAAACGATATTTAGCCAAATGGATAGTTGAATTTCACGCCACTTGTTTTCTTAAATTTGATTGGTTCATCCATTAATTATAGTTTTGCCAAAATCATTAAACTAACCTCTTTATACAAGGCAGAAAACTCATTTGGACAATTTAAAACTCAATGTATGTGTTCCTATTTTATAATACTCCTCATCATTTCTGTTAATTCATAGGTAACTATTGAAGCGTGTAAATAGGTAGAAGAAAATGTAGGATTTTTATTGTATCTCAATCATTCATCATTACTTATTAAAGAACAAAATATGACAATGAAGCTGTGTGGAGGCCTACTGATGCTTATGGCGCTGCTACACTAGTTGTCTTGATCTGCATTTGTTGATATGTATGGGATAGAAAAGATAGGTCATCTGTGAAGTCCAAATCGCCTAACTGGTTCTGAGATATCAATTGTATTCCGTGCTTTACCTCAGATGTCGAGGTCTTCACAATGCAGTCAACCACTAGTACAAAGAGGAAGGGGAAGAATAGACAGCCTTGTTTGACTCCGGTTCTTACTTGGAATGCATCTGTCAGTTGTCCTGAATGCATGACTTTGCACTGTAGTCCATCATATAAGTTGCGAATAATGTTGACAATGTTCTCAGGAACTCCATAGTGTGGAAGAAGTTTCCATAATGTTCTCCTATCTACACAGTCAAACGCCTTTTCATAATCAATGAAGTTCAAACCATAGGGAAACAAATGTGCACTCAATTATGCACTCAATTATTGTGTCCATTATTTGATTCACTCAATTTCTTTCTTACAAACTTATTTGAAAATTGTTTCCTTATTTTATTTATGAGCTGCTTGTTTTACTCTGGAAATTATTTTGATTTTCTTTTATTTGAATCACTTAATTTATGAAGTGGGATTTTTTCCCTTTCGGTTCGCTTGAATTCTAATTGTCTGTTGATGATTCTGTGATAAAAGTTTGCAGGACTTACTTATTTTCATTTAAAAATGTAATATAAACCTGAAACATTCAAAATTGCACAAGAAGTATTTATTCAGTTTTTTGTACTACTCATAAAATTAAAAGTAGTTTAACTTTTGTTATGTAATTTAAATTCAACGATTTAGTTAGAGGAATGTGAATAAGATTGATTAGAAATGATAAAATTAGATTTTTTTCTGTGTGAAACGAAGATTCTTTCACTGGATGGGGAGAGAATATCCATAGTAAAACTAGTTCTCATGAATTTAGTTTAAGTCAATCTAATTCAGATGGGTTTTGTGGATATTATAGTAATTTCAATGGTTAAGATCATGAGTCAGTTGAAGCTAGACCACCATGGAAAACCTGGAAGCACTGGACGGCCGTTTCGTCCCGCCATGGGACTCCTCGGCAGTGCGCATCCATGACCTCGCCCCCTGCGAGATCCGAACCCAGGACCTACTGGTTTCGTGCGCAAGCACTTAATCTAATTCAATCAACTACCAGTAAATCACGTTTTAATATGAAATAGTCCAAGCTAATTTTTGGTTAATGTTCCATATCATTTGCAGAAATTGTTCTATTTGAAGTTCATTTTTATCACAGACTGACTTTGGCTAGCATAATTAATTAAAGATTAAGACATACTGTATAAATGTCTCATTCTAGTTTGTTGTAACCTATCCGCAACTTGCTCTCCGTTGAAATGATTATCTATGTTTCGTAATCTAATAGATACCAGCTTGTTGGTCTTAATGTTAGGTACTCGACAAAAGATTTGAATATCCTGGGATCGATATCCGGTGAGGTCATGGATGCACCCTGCAAAGGAGTCCCCTAACAAGGTGAAATAACTATCCAATGCTTCATAGTATTGGATGGTTGTCTAACTAAGGTCTGTTCATGATGAAAACCGTAAAATTCAAAAATCTCCACAAGTTCTTTACATTAATAACTAACTTGGATCCTTCCATCATATTGAATGGTATATGCTTGGATTATGACTTAGTTTATAATCAGTCATTTATGCTTCCTGTTGATTCTAAATAATCAAGTGTATGTAATGGTAGATTTTTACACTGAAGTTCAGAGATATACCTATCTCTTCAAAAATCAATAATCTATTAACTAATTTTCTACGTTCAGATAGTCATTCACATATTCAAAAAGTATAAAGGTATTTGTAGGAGTTTATGTTATCCCATCATTAATATATCCCGCCTGGTGCGGGATCGTGGATGCGCACTGCTGAGGAGTCCCATACTAGGACGAAACGGCCATCCAGTGCTTCCAGGTTTTCCATGGTGGTCTAGCTTCAATCGACTCATGATTTCAAACTATGAAATTTTGGAATGAAGTTCAATTGATACTGTTGATATTGTATATCCTAAGCTGATACTCATATGTTGTTTGCAACTACAAATTTTGGTTTATTGCTGGATTATGATTGTCAGTGTAATCTAGGACATATTCATGAACAAGCTAAACTTCAAGAAAATCAACTTGAAATTGAATTAAAGTACTAGTTGATGATTATATGTAGTCATATTTAAGTAAGGTAACAAAAGATCACATGTACTCTGTGTAGTTATATAATAAGAACCTGCCATCTCTGAGCTATAGCTTTAGTAACCAATGAACTCCAGGAAATACCTGTTGAAGCCAGTCAATAGTGAGCATATGTTGAATAATATCAGAAGGAGTTTTGTGGATATCATAATAATTTAGTAGTCGAATTCATGAGTTAATTGAAGCTAGACTACTATTGGAAAACCTGGAAGTACTGAAAGGACATTCCATCCTATTGTGAAACTCCTTAACAGTGTACATCCACAATCCCAACTCGTAAGATTCAAACGCAGGACTTATCAGTCTCACACACGAATGCCTAACTTCTAGACCATTGAGCTAGCCGGCATCCAATGGTGTTAATGTCTAACTTCAACCAATCCGTTAATTTCACAGGTTGAAATCATGAGTCAGTTGAAGCTAGACGTGTTCGTGGATGCGCACTGCTGAGGAGTCCCATACTAGGACGAAACGGCCTTCCAGTGCTTCCAGGTTTTCCATGGTGGTCTAGCTTCAACTGACTCATGATTTCAACCTGTGAAATTTACTAAAATCTCCACAAAACTCATTCTGATAATCCGTTAATTGTCAATTATTCACAATAACTTTTGTATCATTCCGTTCAACTAAACCTTTCAGTTGTTATGTTATCTAACATTTTCTCTATCGTTCATTTATTTCTTCTAGTTTCACCTTGTTTCTCATTATTGTGTTTGTCTTTATTCTTTATTATTTCTCTATTTTTTTTTAAATAGTTTATCCACTCTACTTCTTGTTTCTTTTGATGGTTGTTTATTGTTGGTGTTGTTGAACTATTCTAACTGACGTCATAATGATTATTAAATGATGATAGTGATGAAGGGATTAATGAACCATTTAACTCTTTTCAAGATATTTCATTGCTTGCCTATTTTATTCTTTTCTACACCAATTGGTTATTACTGTTGTTGTTATTGTTGTAGTCAAGTCTTATTTGTGTGTGTGTGTGTGTGTGAACTAGTTGTCCGTTGATTTGGCTACAATAAGAATGAATTGGATGGTAGGCGTTTTTTTTTACACCTTTTAAATACACTTGTACACAATCACATCACAAACCATCCAGCTCAGAGAACAAAACTCCATCAAAACACAATCACATAAAATGAGAACATACATACATATAATCTTCATTAGGAATTCTGACCATATTTCTTCTATCGTTGACTGATTTCACAAGTGAAGCGCATATGATAACATAACAATAACTAAACTGAATTTGTATGCATGTATAAGAAGGTGAGGAAGAACGAGGGAGAGAAAGTTTGTAAATATACCATAAGAATAACATTAGGTCCTATGTCACTATTTTTATTGCTACTACTACTACTATTATTACTGGAATGTAATCATCTAGTTAGTTCAAGTGGCGCGTGGCCTTTTTTTGGGGATGCATTAAAACAAACGAATAAATGCACATACGCTTAAATAACTATGATATTTACTTAGTTCTGAGAAATGGTATATTCTATTTCCCTTTTATTTAATCATTCAGTATAGTCTCTATTTTCAAAAGAATTAAGATATGATCATGAAAATTTATTATGAATAATCATATACTATCAAATAATATTAGTAGTATGTTTTAGTTAACATCAACACTATTCGTAGTAGTAGTAGTAGTAGTAGTAGTAGTAGTAGGAATAGTAAAGTGTGAAGACAAAGAATAAGCTTATCACAGTTATGTTGATGATGGTCAGATTAACTAAGTGTTGAGATATTTTTTTAAAGCCTTTAATACTTCACCACAAACATCTACTTACATAGAGATAAATGACAAAAGCTGAGAGAGAGAGCAAAAATTATTATTATTATTATTATTATTATTATTATTATTATTATTATTAATAACATCCCAAAGGCGAATAAATCTCCTTTGTAACCTTAATGTGAATAGGTTGAGACATTTAGCCTTCTTTCTTTTTTTTCTCATATCATATTGATGTATATAGAAGACAATATGTTAATGACATTCATTAAGTAACAAGTAGAGGTTGGATAGAAGGATTATGAAAAACGAAATAGTAATCAACAATTGATGAGAGAGGGAAAAAAAAGTTATTAAAGACAAAAAAAGAATGAAAGAATTCGAGTCTCTTTCACATTCTATCCGATAGTAGCTGTGTTAAGCAGGTGGTGGTGGTAGTAGTGGTGGTGATAAGGAATAAAAGCAATGAAAACAGTGAGTAGTATTCGATGAAACTAATGTTCATACTCATATACAAACATTAGATTTCTGAATAAACTATTGAGTAAATACTAATTATACATGCATAACTTAATGGTCTCAAGGGAATCTTATGAATGTATCGTTTCCCTGAAATAACGAACTTCACAACAAAAAAAAAAGAAAAGAAAAGAATTTACAAATTTGACATCAATCAATACAAGGTATGTTTATAAGTATGTCAATGTGTTTGTGTGTGTGTGTGTGTGTGTAGGGATGTACATAAATATTCATGACCATAACTAATAAGTGATTGATGATGGTGTAACTTGCTTTGTACACCCCCCCGCACACACACCTCCACAGGCCCCTACACACACACACACACAAAATGTAGTCATGAGTAAAATCTCAACAACAACAAAAAAAATAAATAAAATAAAATTTATCCTACAAGATCCATTAGGATTGAAAAGATTAACAAGGATTATTATTATTGAAGTAAACAAATAACCAGATGAACAAGTGTGTGAAAAATATAAAAAAAAATAGTTTTTCTTTTGTAAAATATAGAAAATCTAATAATCATGATAATAAGTAGTATATGAAATCGAATTGAATTTTTATGGCATTCAATACATTTATATGAATGGATATCTATTTGATTTGATTATCTGATTATTAATCACCTTCTGTAATGATTATTAATATCATTGATCAGAATTAAATCTGTTATTAATAATAAGTGACATTATATTTCATATGAGAAGGAATAGATAAGGAATAAAGAGAAATTTTAAAGAAATAAGATCATAAATAGAATTTAAGAAAAAAAATTATTTAGAAGATTGAAATCATGAGTCAGTTGAAGTTAGACCACCATGGAAAACCTGGAAGGACTGCTCACTGGTGACTGACTTCAGGAGAACCTCC